GATAATTACGAAAATGAAGAAAATTCAACTGTAACAAATATTGCGAACGTTGTCGATGCCGATGAACAAGTGCCGGATGAGGACGAGGATTCAGAGGCTGAGGATGAGGTGATTAAACCAACAGACAATTTGGTGCTTGTCGGCCATGTGCAAGACGACGCCGCTAGCATGGAAGTCTGGGTGTTTAACCAGGAGGAGCAGGCGCTCTACACACATCACGACTTCCTGCTGCCCAGTTTTCCGCTTTGCATCGAGTGGATGAATCATGATGCAGGCAGCGACAAGCCGGGCAATATGTGCGCCATTGGTTGCATGGATCCGGTTATCACGATCTGGGATCTGGATATACAGGATTCCATAGAGCCAACATTTAAGCTTGGCTCCAAGGGCAACCGTAAAAAACAGAAGGAACAGTATGGTCACACAGATGCTGTCCTCGACCTGTCGTGGAATCCCCAGTTCGAGCACATTTTAGCCAGTGGTTCAGTAGATCGAACACTCATACTGTGGGACATGGACGAAGGACAGCCACATACGACAATTACCGCCTTCGAGGAGAAAGTGCAGAGCATAGAATTCCATCCGGAGGAGGCGCAGAGCATACTCACCGGCTGCTCCGATGGCTTGGTGCGTCTCTTCGACTGTCGCGATGCAGACAATGTGGACACGGCATTTGTCAAGTGGCAGATCAGCGGCGAGGTGGAGAAGGTCCTTTGGCACCCAACGGAGACAAACTACTTCATCATTGGCACCAACGACGGCAGCTTACACTACGCCGACAAGCGTCAGCCCAACAAGCTGCTGTGGTCCGTAAAGGCGCACAACGAGGAAATCTCTGGTGTCTGCTTCAACAAGGAAATGCCCAATCTGTTGACCTCCACCTCGACCGAAGGCACGCTCAAAATATGGAATTTCAACAGCACCGAACCAAAACATGTCTACGAGCACGACTTCAACATGGGCCGCCTGCAGTGCATGCGACAGTGCCCAGAGGATCCCTACACGCTCGCCTTTGGCGGCGAGAAACCGCCGCGTTGTGCCGTATTCAATATCAAGAACTTCGAGGCAGTGCGTCGCACCTTTGGCATTCCCGATGCTGAATAAAGTCCCATTAAATTCTGT